CCTTCTGTTTTGTCCGAAGTTCCAGGATGTCAACATTCTGTTCCAGCATGCAATGAAACAAAATGTCAACAACCCAGAATTTTCTACAAAACAGAAATACCCTTTTCTGGCCAATTCTAGTCACAGGCTGCATGTGTGCTGTTATAATTGCCTCTCCACAGAACAACTGTGTTTTACAGCATCTTTTTTATAATTCCACTTCACATGTAAGCACTGAAAGACAGTGAGTATTGAGCAATTGGTCCCATGCTGACAATTCTAACTTACAACATGAGAAATTTCTGACCAATAGTTTTGAAAAGATAGTTCAGTATTTTAAGACCACTGTAGTTAAACACAGACTTTTACAAGACTTGCATAATTGGTCAGCTAATTGGTCGATTTTGCTGCTTATCGTACTAATTTCACAACACAGACTGTAACCAGATGGGATATTTTCAAAGAATTTGACTGCTATCACACATGGTGTTATTCCACTGATACACTCCCCAGAGAAATAACAAACCACCTGGATTTCTAATTAGCACTCCACCAACTTGTTGAGTGACCAGACTTACGCAGGCTCTAGACACTGCTATTTGTACAATCGCCTAAAAGATTCTACTGGCTTTTGTTTTTAAATACCTCTAAACTAAGTTACAAAAGCAGCTGAAAATATCAAAACTGCCCTGATTAGGCACTTGAGTGACCAGACTTACACGGGATGGCGTACTAGATATTAAACAAATTACCGCATGTTTTTGAGGTGTTGATTCAGAATACCCAGGTATTCTAAAGATGGAAACGTCTTTAGAGCACAAAAACAAAGCTGCTATTGTTCATATTTTCCCCCCCAAAACACATTTTTTTCTTCTCAAAGGTCAATAACAGTCTTTAATAACACTAACTCCTCTTTTCAACTGCTCAAGATATTACTACTCTCTCTGAAGAAGTCTATTCCTACATGTACTAAATTCATATATTTCTAATTAAAAAAAGCTCACAATTACAAATGGACACATTAAGGAGAAAGAAAAATATTGAATCCAAGAAACAATAAATAATTAATCCTAGGCAAGCACTGAGATGTTTCTAGGCCATAACTCATCTCTTTCAAGGTAACAGCTTATGGAACAGAAGTGTTCCACAATAGTTCTGATATAGTTCTGATAATATTTGACATTATGTCAGTACTTGGTTCAGTTATTGGTTTCCCAGTTATTGTTTTTCAGTGTGCATGTGTATAGGTAACTTCTAAGATCAATTTTGGCCACACTAGGTCCTCTCTCTTCCAAGAAGCTGCAGCAACCTTCAGCTTAAAAGGGCAGAGGATAGGTTTAAAACAAATCAATAAAATAAATGGCAATGAATTACATGAACTGGATGGTATTCCCCGGAGTTTAAAAGATTCAAAAATGAATCACCAAATAATGAACTGACACCTAGAACGTCATTTAATGAACTACAGAACTAATAGGTCAGAAAGCAGTACATATGGCACAGATTCATGAAAACTTCTACAGAGAATTCTGGAAATTAGTCTGATCTCTTCACATGGCAAAAAGGGATAGTGACAGATAGAGATCTCTTCCCTGCGGAGGGAAGTGATGCTCAACTTTCTATCCTTCTCTCCTCCCCAAAATACTTATTTTTAAGGAAATGGCAAGATGATGAATAAAGGAGATATAGTTAACATAGGACATTTTGGGTTTCCAGAAAGCATTCAATAAAGTACATATTCAAAGCTATCTTGGGATAACAGAGAAGATTATCTGGTAATGAAGGCTGAAAAGTAGAACAAAATGAATTGCCTTTGTTGGAACCTGCATCATTCAACATACTAAAACAGCCAGGAATGGGGGAATGTGAAGAAGTTTACTGATTATTTGGACTATTGAAAATTAAAAATGACTGTAGGAAGTTGCAGAAAAGTATCATAATCCCATATGATTTCAGATCACATCCTTCAAATTTTACCACCATAACTTTATGTTAAATTCTATTTCCAGAGAGAATTTATCTTTGTATGTTAATGGCTGTATACAAGCTATGTGTTGTCTAAGCAGACCAAATCCCCATTCACATACTTTTGGAGAAAATGAGTTAAGTTTGGAACTCTTTGGAAGATGGAATTATGGTTGACCAATGCCATTGTAAAGAAATTCCAAAAATCTTAAGTATTTTTCATACCGTCTTAACACTGTTTATCCTATTCTGTTTAGAAACCCTGAGCCAACATGTGGAGTGCCTCAGACTCTATGGAGGTGACACAAACGCTGAAGAGAAGATCCTTGAAAGCCTAAATGGGATTCTCCTATCTCTTGCTGAAGATAGCTAAGTATCCCACTACACTGCTTTCCAACAACCAACCATTTACACAACCCAAAAGCATTCCCCGGTGCTTTTCATCTATCATAATAAATATCAAAACAAGTGATGACTGCTGGAAATATCAAATTCCTCAGCACTTTTTGTAGTTTATTTTCRTATACTCTCAAATTAAGCAGATGAAGAAAATCTTTCCTTTTTACTCTAAGGAATCAGTTCAAAATCAATTTACTGGGAGTCTAACATATTAAGAACAATAGCAAAAAAACTGTCCTTTGACTTTACCTTGCTTTCCACTTTTTAAACACAGTGTCAGCTTATTAGCGTTGTTCCATATATTTGTGCAAAAAGAACTAGTCATTCTGCTCAAGTTCCAGAGCCCTTTCAGCATTTCACAGAAATCTTATTTGCAAGAGCAAATTTAGCATTTGAGAGAAGGGTAAAAGGCCTGTCAAGGAGTCATTGTTTGTTAATTGAGCATCTGCTTAGCTTTTGAGGCAGTAAAAGCTCATTTCACCTGTCAGCATTCACCTGGCAGCAGTTGTCTCTTCTTCAGGGCACAAGCACTTAGCCACCACTGATGTGACTTCTCAGCTCAGAGGTGTGCTTCACACAGCACACATGCATATTTCAGATAACCCTTGGTTTTAAAACAGAATAAGACATTAACAGTTCCAACCATTTTGGAGGCAAATATTTCAGACCACAAGATGTGATTTTTCAGACTTTTACAAGTGCTTTTGGTCTTTCCTCATTAGTCATACTACTTAATCCCGACACAAAACTAGTAATTTTATGAAGTCTTCAATGATACCCAAGGAGCTAAGTAAAATAGGTGAACTACATTTACTATTTGTTAGCACACAGTGGCTGTAAAGTGCCTGAAGTTAGACAAGTGATTGCAATAAACTTAGTCTTTTTTTTTTTTTTTTTTTTAATGCATAACAGACATAGCTGCAAATGTATTCAGCAGTCTAGGCCAGAAAGAGCAAGGCACCTTGCATAAGCAAAGAAATACTGTACAAGTGTTGTGAGAAAAACCTACATTCACTAAACAAGCGTTTTAGTACCAAATGAAACAAGCAAAATGCTATGCTGCTTGACAGCTACAGTAATGCCAACTTTCACATATAAGGCAAGAGTTCAGCTTTTTTTTTGTAAATTTTAGTCTTAATTCTTAAGATGCAGCTCTGCCATTAAAGCTTATTAACAACTTTTTACCATATTATGTTGCTACAGTATTTCCATATGTTTTCTAAAAGATGGTTTTGTATCACATACTTCAGCATCCCACTTTAAGCATGGGAAAATATCCGTATCCAATAAACAATACTSATTTAAGTCTAACCAAGGTATAGTCAGCTGATAGCAAACAGAATCATGTACATATCGGTGCTCAGACTACTGCACGAATGTGTCTAGGTTGTTTATTAGTTACAGTCAGATCATGTGTGTAGTCACAGTCRAAGAAAAACAATGAGATGTGTGGAAATGGCTTGTAATGTAGTTTTAAAGTACTGTGCACTGCAGTTTCCATACAATAATGTCTATTTGTCACCATTTAAGTAGAAAAGAATCACTATGAGCTCAGAGATGAGTCTCTGCTTTGGAAGCAGTACAACAAGGGTGTCTGCTTGGTTGGTTATCGCCTTTGCTCTCTGCAATATCAGAGATATTCCTATTGCTACACTGAAGAAACCAACCAGTCACTTCACAATTCAAAGTGTCTGTAAACAGTTCAGATCAGTCRCATGCAGACAACAAAAGGAGGAAAACAACCCTCACAGGTATTTTCAATTTTCACTGTTTAGAGTCTGGGCTTCCTTTAGTCAGTGTCTAAGCATAAAAAGTTCTCTATCAGCCAGAGAGCAACTAACAATCAGCACTTAGAGCTCTGGTGAGAAACTCCTTAAGATTTCTGCACATTTCTCCTGTGATGCTATAAACCTGCATTTATTCAAATCTCCTGGCACATGGTARTTTACTACTTTATAAGGCAAACTAGATATGGTTTTGATAGAAAAAAGCTAAGGGAATTGCCTGCTCTAATTAGTAGTCTAATGAAAGATATTGTGCCTTAATTGCAAGGCCATACTTCAGGAACAGAATGTTAATCCCTCGCTTGCCATGCCTCATGCAAGCTTCCTTTTATCCTCAGAGAAGATGAAAATGCTTTGCCACCTGTGCTTTAATTCAGCATGAATTAGCTAGAATAATCAGCTGCATAGACACTTGCTGCAATCTAAGAGTGTTCCCATATATTTCGGCTGAGACAACCTTTAAGTACCTTGTTAAATGAGGACTTTGGATCCCAAAGATACACACTGAGAACACCATTGAAGCAGAGTAACACACAAACAGTTGCAAACCTAGTGCTGAGATTGTTAACCCTCTTATCATTGCAGAGCAGAGATGCCTCAGCCTACTCAGAGAGAGTGGGATTTTCCTAACTTTGGCACAAATCCTGAAAGGCAATCCACGGTGYGCAGTGAAGGCAGCCCAGGTGCTTTCAGAGCTAGCCAAGAATGGTACGTTGCATTAAAGCATTACTACAAGGCATGTTACAGCACATTTCCTCTACGTTTCCAATCTTGAGTTCCGTTTCACAGCAAGCAGTTATTGATCATGAAATTGCCTTTTTTTTTTTTATACCAATATCACTAAAACTTAACAGTTTGTCTTCATCTGCACAGAGGAAATGAAGAAACCATGTATTGAAGCAGATTTGATTCTGACTTTGATACCTTTCCTGGAAAGCACTGACCAAGAAATGTTACTTCATGCTGGGAGAGCTATTGGTCGTATCTGTTATGACAACAGTAAGTATCTAGCAGAAAAGATTCTGTTTTTCCTGGCTGTAGAGTATTATTTTATAAGACAATATTAGGAAAAGCTCCTTAGGCTGCAATTTTTGATGAGACCTGAACCCACAATGGCCCTCAATCTCCAGTTAGTTATATAAATCACACAGCTCAACTGCCAGGCTGAAAGCATCTCAAACACTTTCAACACTTTGCTTCAAGGCAACACTTTTTTCTCCAAATGGAGACAAAATTCYCCTGTTCTCCAACCACAGGAGTACCAGAGCTTCACAGATTTCAAATCGTCAGCTTTGCCAGAAATGACTTGGGCTAAAATCCTGAAGAGTTTTTCTTTCAAAGCAATAACAGTATCTGTAAAAGCAAAACATTTTTAGAAATGCATGCCAGAAGAAAAAAAGCCACCACATTCCACCAGGCACAACAGAGATATTTGATTCTTCTCTAAGGATTACTGCTTGCAAATAGAGAATTTTGCTTGTCCAAACTTTGGAGTCACCCAGCTTGCCAATCAGTCTCACAAGAGATATCCCTCTTCTTTTACTTGCCCACCAAAGCACATATTTTAAGATTTCTAAGTTAGAAGTCTTAGAGGTAATATGAAACTTCTCCCTCAGTATATTTAATCAGCATTGTTCCTGGGAATTTCAAGAATAGGAACCTAGTACCAACCTTCTGCAACTTAGAAGGATGAATTTGCCGAGGGACACAGAGCTTATGCCATTACTATATATCAATATTCCTTCAGCATCCGGCCACGTTAAGTYTGCTTCATTTCCATCAGAACATAGACCAGCAGGGATTTGACAAGATGACTGTGACTAAGGTCCAATAAAAACAGCAGCAGCAATAAAGATACTATGAAAAATTAACTTTAGTACTTTCCTGATTAAATTGCACTTACACAACTTACAATAGCACCTGAACACTCTTCCTAGCGTCCTTCTCACTTGCTGAGAATCTGAGCAGCAGTCAAGACCATTAGAAATGTCATAATACTGTTAGACAATCTCACTGGAAAACATTACATTTATAGCTCTTGGCACCCTCAAAATGATTCTAGATATTAGGCTTCATTCTTTTTAAAGCAATCTCTAAAACAATGTTTTCTCATTAATTCTGTATTTGGAGGGAGATAACTCCAAGAATAGTACAAAGTATTAGGACAATATTTTTCATTTTGTCTTACTGGATTTTATTTACTTCTCTTGATTTGATTTTTTTGATTTTTAAGGCTATCACTAAGTTCCCTGCAGGAAACAAGCTGACCTTGTCCCCGCCTCATTTTTCAGATACATTGATATCTATGTACAGRTATCTACGATCCATCCACAAATCTGTTCTATCATAGGTAGAACTGTCAAGTAGTACTTGCTCTAGAGTTTGTACTATTAGCTGAAACACTCGTTCCATTGCCCTTATATTTACAAGCCTTTAATTGCCCAAATCAAGGCAGAATTAGGGGGTTTAAGAATTTTATTTCTGTAAGCAATAAAAAACAAAACTCTAGTCTAAATCTAGATTTCCTATGCACACATATCAGCAGAGTTGTGAGAATGAAGCAGACTATCTTGCTGAACTCATCCCAGCTGTTCCCTTTTACTGATTTAATTGGTCCCATCTAACCACAGGAGCCTTCTAACCCATTTAACCTCTATGGCCTGCTGTTATCAGGGGATCTTCAGGAAGAGCTGGTGAAGGTGGGAGTCATCACATCCCTAGTCCGCATATTAACTGACTATGCGGAGAGTGAACCTCTTGTCCATGTTGACCTACTGGCCTTATGCAATCTTGCAGACCTTGGTAAGTAAGTGGTTTTATATCTCGCAGCAAAATGTTATTTTCACTCTGCCATTATCCTTCCTTGTACATACAGAATGCCCACAGATATTCTAATAAAGCTAATATGCAGTCATGGAGTAGCCACAGAAGTTATCACCATACTTCACATTAGGCCTTACTGTATAAGTTCATCTATTGCCCCATACCTTATGGAGGAGAGGTAGGGAAGGAGGGTAGTATCACRTTTGTTATCGTCCAGCCAACTACCTCCTGCATAGGTTTCTTAYATTACTGAATACCATTTTCTATTCAAATTTTATTCATTTTCTGTTGTACAGCAGTGAGCTTTAAAAAGATGCATCTTGTAGATGTTTATGATTCCAGCTARTTTAGAACCACCTAATCTTAGACAGAATCATGTAATCAAAGCAGGAAATACACTAGTACAGCAAACCAGCATGTGACACGTGCCATTTTGATAAATGAAATGATCACACTGTGGTTAAATTTACAAGAATCAATGGAATTAAACCAGCATGAATTTGACAGCTACTAWAGGGTCATAGCTAGAAGAATTAAAATGCATTAAAGAGAAATTCAAATACAGAAGCATTCTAAATTCTTACTTTATACCATATTATAGACACAGCTAAGGAAGCTCTAAGCAAGACAAAGGTGGCCGAACAGTTGGTGAAGCAACTGAGAAGAGCAGAGAACCAYGAGAGGTTAGAAATGGTCTTTGAGGTCCTTCAGACACTTGCAGAAAAYGGTAAGGCTTCTGAGGACAAGGTGGGAAAGGGTACTAGTACTGAGTTTAAGGTGAACATTTTGATTTTGATGTGGAATCCCTTTAATGGAACCAGCAGACCCTTCCAGGGAAATAAACCCCCAAGTACATATAAAATCCTGGTCTGTTTAAGACTACGAATTTATCAGGGAAGGCAATTAATGAGGGAGACGAACATTTTAATTATTTTCTTGGATCTGTGACAAAGCAGATCTTTATCACGAGAGAACACAAGTTTGAAACTGAAAAGCAGCGCAGACCAGTTTGTTTGTACAAAGCAATTTGCTACACCAGGCATCTTCTAATAGAAGATTGTCAAAAACTGACAAGAATCCATCAAGAAAAGCAAGACAACTCACCCAGTCTGCAAAGTACAAAAATTTATGACTGCCAATACAAGTAATAAAGATCAACGCAGAAGTTTTACTTGTTATGCTTGTGGTATTTTCCTAATAACAATGTTTGTAACAAATAAAACAGAAAGAAAGGAAAGAAAGCATCTTAAATTCAAGGATTCAGCTTCCTAGTTTAAAACATTTTGGCAATGACCAGAGTTGTTAGTGAGCTCTTACTGTGATCTCCACAGATGCTTTGAAAGTACAGTTGGTGGACGCAGGTGTGCAAGAGGTGCTGTCCGAGATCCTGCTGAGGCTCCAGGGTAGCTCACAAGCTGAAGACACATGCATTGTGAAGGCTGCATCAGATCTCATTGTCTCTCTGCTTCTTGGAGGTAAAAAAAAATTAAAATTAAAAAAAATATATTAACAGGCCAGATACATAAAGAATGAACAACAAAGAGTTCCTTTGACAGAGGAGTTGCTCTGCTCCATTGCTTTCATTTCCTTAATAGGGACACACCTGCAACTAGTTTCATAATAATCCTTAAGAGATTATGTCCATAATAATCCTTAAGGGATTACTATGTCCTTCTTAGACAGTGCATTTTTTTTCATTTACTGTATAAATGCAGTGCTCATGTTGCCCTGTTTTCCCTGAAGCATACACATACTTWGCCTCAGGCAATCTAATACATCTGTGATTGCTCCTGTGTAGAAAATACACATAGGTGCAAAAGCTTCATGCTATTGTAGCTGTACCTACAGTTGGGGCGGTCCAGACCCAGCTTCCATAACTATTTGCAGCACTGGCTTGAATGCCAGTTTTAAAATCAAAAGCTAATTAATAAATTAAATAAAAAGTTGACATGGTATTTGACAATCCATACTTTATTTTCTATTCCAAAACTATGTATATAATCCAGGTGCTTGGATTAATAGATGAAATAAGAACCATCTTATAGTGTAAATTGTCCTTCAATCTATTAYGAAGAGCACCATCCTTCCAGAGGACACATACTGCTCTTGTGTCTTACTTAGTCTCCTGTGTTGTTCCTGAAATCTGCCTAAGAAAGGCCAAAGACCTTCAAAAGTAATTTAGTTCAGTTGGTGCTGCTATTATATTTAAACGCAGAATACAGCTTCAAGAACTGAACGTTTACATCCCATCCCTAAAATCTCAGAGAAATTACAGAAATTACAGAAAATTAAAGCAATTGACATCTCAAAGGTCTTAA